AAAATGACGACGCCTCCCGGGGATGCGTCCATGTGACATATATATTTGCACAAACGGTGTGCTATCTCGAGACACCGACCACGGATTGCAAAGGTAGCGGTTGGGACAGCTCGGGCAAAATATTACTTGTTGTGCGCAAGTTTTAGTTTGCAATTTGGTGCCGAGATGGTGAAATGGGCTCGAGTCTGCTGGGTATTTAGGGCGCGCAGACACCAGACACCAGACAGACACCAGACACCAGACAGCCATGGCTAAATTTTCACGCCCCTGTGCATGAAAATTATTCTTTTTCTCGTGCGCACATACTCCACACACGATCCCTCTAAACAGCTTTTTTTTTGCAAAACAAAACAAAAAGCGTACCCCTAACGGGCCACACTTTTTCAAAAAAAAAACTATTAAAAAAAAATACTATTACTACTGGCGCGGACGTACATTTTCACATGTAGTCTATGCGCGATGCGCGATGCGCACCACGACGATGCAAGAAGAGGATGCCGAAGGCGCGGAAAGCTTTTCGGGACGGCCATGGCCTGACAAGGAGGCGTCCATTTCGTGAGCCGAAGAGCTCCCAAGAGTTGACCAAATAACGTCCTCTGATCGCTCTTTATCACCACAGACAGACACAAGTGTCGTTTTTGTACGGCAACGACCAGCGGGGCTGTAGGCTGTGAATTGTCTCGCTGATAGAGCTCCACCGCGATCATGTCTTTGGAGACAGATGCAAACTGCGCCTGGTGAAGAAGCCTAATGAACACATTGTAAATGATCTAAGACGGCGATGGCGAAGACCACGCCTAGGAAATATGTCAGAGGCACAACCAACTCTCCTTGTTGTCGACCGGCGTATGTTGCTGCGCCCCCGTGCATGGCTGTGCAAGAGTCATCGGCAGCTTCTGGCTTGAGGGTAAAGCCGCGCTACGCACCACCGGAGAAGAGGGGATCCAGTGGGCCCCCATGTGAGCGAGAATCACAGGGCATCTAGCGATGGTTCGTCGGCACAACAACTGCTTCTGCTGTGTATGCCTAGTGCAATGAGAGAGTGTAACTCTACTGCTGTAATCTATATCTAGTCTAGACCAGAATAGATCCAGTTTCTTCGGTTTTTGTTGAGGTTTTCGCCGCTCTGGCTTACGACGCCGCGCACCACACTAGTCTACAGCAGGTTGTGCGTCTCTTGCTCTCATTCCAAGCGCGAGAAACGGCGGCCAAAACTTCCTACAGCACGCCACTGAAAAGGAAGGGGGATGTATATCGTCAACGCCGAACACCCGGAGATGGCATGTAGCACTCGTTGCATGTAGACTACGCCTGGTTGACCAGTACGATTTGTTTTTTTTCGGAGCAAAGAGGGAATTGATTTGGTGAAACGGCATTAATTGCAGCGCTCGACGTTACTTTCCCGCCCAGCCATATCCATACCCCAAAACATCCCCACACACCCGTGTTGCCTGGGGGAGAGTCCCACACGGACCGCATGTAGATGCTACTGTCGTGGCCTCTGCATGGGGTACATTGTCAGGAGATTTTTCACCACCCTGCAGCCGCAATTCGTGGGAGCATCCATTACCCAAGGATTTCGACCACGTTTGTGCGAACTGGTACACGGCAGTGAAGCCACCTTGAACTTACCTGCACCAGCAGCGGCAACATGCCTACGGCTAGTACTTTCGCACCGATGGGGGGACACCTCGGTGGCCCCAGTCGCCACCGGGGACCGACTCCCAGTGGTGTGTTGCCATCAGCGGCTACAACGCCAACAGAGGCGGCGACGAGCGGCGGCACCCCGATGAAGGCAGCCGACGTTTTCCCCGATCTCCACCACAAGATGAGCAAGAAAATCGCTCAGCTGACGAAGGTTATATACCACCTCAACACCAAAAATGAAGATCGCCAGGTACGTGTACAATCTGCGGCGGCAGAGTACCTGCACGTGAGTGATCGTAAACCCATGATTGATAGCGTGCGTCCGACTACTACAGCAGTGAGTGTACTGTAGCATCCGTAAGACTTGTTGATCCGCTGGTGTGTGAGTGCTGCTTCGAACAGCAGAGACGCTGTCGTGAGCGCTGATGTGTCCGCATTACATGTAAGACCCAACTAGATCAGCGTACGTACACGAATGCTCTGAGCTCATGTCGGTGTGTGTGTGTACTGTAGGCTACAGGTAGTGTTGGGTTTGGAGTAGCCGTGTCCTCGGCGTCATGGTCGTCCTGCCGTTCGCAACGACACCAAGAGAAAAATTAGCCCACCAGTCCACGACATGATGGCAGTGGATGCTGCCAAAATGATCAATGGAACCAGCAGTAAACACAGCCTGTGCTGCATTTGTTCTCTGGCCGCCTCCGCCCTCTCGTTGCTACACGTTCGGCCAGGATGGAAGCGCAAAATTGAAAATGCGTGTGTTGAGGTTTTGACTCCATCTCCAGTTGGACAACTTCATGGGGGCCACACAGATGGCCTTTCTATTCCATTGACTTCAGCGTTCCGCGCTTTCGCGGTAAAATCATCTGCGGAAAACTCCATGACACGTATGAATGTAGTCCAAGGCCATATATGAGAATCGTCTCTGCGCGGTATCGACCGCAATTCACGGTGAATTGTCGTTGGTCCTTGCAACAATATCAGTTCGAGCTGGAAGAAGTCAATACAAACCACCAGCAAGAAATGCAGGACATCCTCTCGGACGCGGCCAATAAGATCAAGCGATTTAAGGAGAAGCTCGCCTCTAAGCAGGGGCAACTCGATATGGAAGCGCAGGTGTGCAGAGGCCCTCGTCGGTGAGGGACGACGTATCTCTCTCGACGCTCTCTCATAAGTGCTTGAAGAGGCGTGTAAAACCCGTGTGGCATGCCTCGCCCTGTTGTCTTGTCGGTGTTGGCTTTGAAATCGTCATGATTCAGGAAACCTGGGCAGACATCTAGATGCGCCAGATAGTCTGCGCCGCTCGCTCTATCTGTTGTTCCTACAACCTTCGGGACGTCACATCGGTCTGGGTGTGGAACGTTCGGCAACAATTTTTCTGGACAGCAGTGTCCAGTTGTTGTGTCATCTTCGTGATCAACGGGCTGTTGTACTACAGTTGTAGGGACTCTTCAACCACATCCAATGTTGAACCCGCAATAAATCAGGTAGATAAGCTACGCCAGGCTCATGCGAAGGAAAAAGAGGAGGCGCTGGCGGAGTTCCGAACCTTCAAGCGCAACGCAAAGGCTAGGGAGGAGAGCATACAGGTATGCATGCCTAAATTGAGTCATCACAAACGGCTGACAAGGCCGGGGCTGAATCCGAACGTGAGGCTTGCACACAGTGGTCTGAATCATCCGGTTCATGAGATGCAGTTGTGCGCATCTGACGCACACATCCGGCCTCTTTTCACAAGACTCTCACAACTGGCATCTCCCACGCCCCATTCCCGTCGCAGCAAAACTCTAACGTGATTCTGCGGCGCCAATCACCAGGAAAAATCAAGGCTCTACATGTGTCTAACCACAGTTTGTCGTGTGCACGTTTTGTCGCATCAAGATCCGAACGCCCTCCCCACAGGTCATTCCCTACCTTCCCTAATCCCACTTGATTGCGGTTGGTGACTTCGACAATGCATGGGGATTCTTTGGAGCACTTACACTCATGCCTACGCCAATGTACCGCACCATGACATAGGGCAAAAACTGAACATTTCCAGTACAGAACGTTCGCAAGCGATGTAAGTAAGCCTGGGTCCGAGCGGGAATGGTGCTCCGGAAAACTCGGCGCGCGCGGTTTCTCGGTCGCTCAATACTCCTGCAAGCCACGAAACCGTAACCGAGTTGTCCGCCTCAAATGGCACTCTGCCTGTAGACCGAAAACGACGTTACCTGGCCTTGGCACTAAGGCCTAGCACCGGGATGACATACTCCCCACCTCATCTTGCCCTTGCCCTCAGCTTGACTGCAAGGAACGAACGGAGGATCTTGCGACACTCGTCGAGAAGGAGAAGAAGGGCTTCGAGGAGTCCCTCCGCAGGTTCCAGGAGAAGGGAATGGCGCTGAGAGCGGCCCTTGAGACGGCTCAGAAGTCGGCGGCCGGGAACGTGTCAACTTTGAAGGCTAAACACAAGGTGGGTGAAGCACGCAGACGGCGAAGCGTTAGGGAAGGAGGATGCCTGCAATGGTAGGTGCCTGCAATGGTAGTGGCAGGTGGCGGTGTGGGCCAAGAATAGTTCTCGAAGATCTCCAGACTGCTCGACGTCCATAAAGGGATCGCAAGGCGGTGCTGCTCTCACCGAAAACCTTCATCTTTGCTCGGATTTTTCTCGTCACGTGATGCTTCTGGCGCCGCTGTTTTCGGCCTTGTCTGCTACGGTGGAAGTATTCGTCTGGGAAGTTTTGCTCCCCTGGTGGGCTTTGTTCTATTTTTCTTCATTCTGGCCCAAACCCCAGGCACAGTGCAGGCCTGAGGGAGGCATACTATGGGGCTGTGGTAGGGGTCTGTTGTACCTCAAACCGCTGCATATTGTTCTCTGTCTCGGTTGATGCGACTGAAACCCACATAGATGGCTCGTGCAGGGAAGTATTGAAATCGACACACGACCACCAAGTGCGAAGCTAGTGAAAATCACCTTGTCCACCCACGCCTAAGGTATAGAAACGAGACCTGTTCTTGTCGGGAATATCTTTTTGTTGGAGTCTCTCGGTAACAAGTACCCCCAGAACGGCACTACCCCCCAGTTTTCTTCTGGACCTTCAGCATTTCGTGACGGTTGGGCCTTTGTGCTGGATGACACAAGTACCAACACAGGGTGGCACAAGCGCGGCGGCGTGGTTTTGAATTGCACGTGCTTTCCCTGGTCTCATGTGCTGTTTCGATGGTGCTGCGAAAGCTGATGAAAATTGCTTGGCAGCATTCATCGAAGCATGTAATTATAAACGTGGCAAGTCAGCCTGGCGCAATGTAGTTTCTTGCTGCTCTTGCTATCACTCTCTATGAATTGGCAAGGGTCAGCTTCAAAGGGGACGAATTTCCCCGACTCAGCATGCTGCTGTTGCTTGTGCTGCCGCTGTCGTTGTTGGTATTCTGATAGAGGGTGCCAGCTTGACCGAGACCAATCAAGTTGACTTCCCCGATAGATACTGTGTTCCCCGTCGGTTGCTGATATCGAAATGTTTCGGTCTTAAGGTGGAACTGGAGGAGGCCGTGAGAAAGGGCAACGAGAAGTTCAATACGATGATCACGGACCAGCTCATGGCGCAGGAAGACATCAGGAGGGCCGCTGAGATGGAAGCCAAGGTGAAACCACACACACCGTACGCTAGAAAAGGCTAAAGAGAGGAGCAGGGCGTCTCTTGGCGCCGAGTGTCGTACCCGATACCGCGCTCGTATTCGCCCCTATCGCTAGCATACGTAGAAAAAGTACGCCAGACACTTCAATGAGCCTGGAAACCTCGAAGAATGGCGAATAACTGAGCGAGCATGTTTGACTGTTATTCATTCCTTTGTAGTGTGAGGCCCCCACAAGCGAGCACCCACAATATCGCGAAATGTTGATGCTGTGCGGTCCAGGGAGCGAAGCAGGAGTTTGAGCAGCAAGTGGGGCGGTTGCGCGCCGAGCTGGCAGGGGACAAGGAGGCAGCGCTGTCCGCGCTGAGGAGAGAGAGCGATGAGGAGCTCAAGGTAGTCGCCCCAACTCACTGTTTGATCGTATACACCCCATCAACGCATGCAAGAAGCTTTCTTTTTACATATTGATCGTTTTGCACTAGGTGGCGGTTGGATCTGCACAGAATCATAAGAAATGATAGCGCGTTTTCTGTTCCATGCAAGAACAGCTGCTTGCTTTCCGACAGTCTTCGCCACGTGAAAACAATTTTTCATGGACCAGGCAACAAGGAAATCTCTCACGGAAAAATTGGAGAGGGCGCTCGCCGATGCCACCCAGTCTCGCGCGGTCTGCGCAGAAGAGAAGAAGCGAAACGCCTCCCTGAAGGCCGACCGAGAGAGGTACAGTGTTAGGGCCCCAGCAACAGTATCGGGTAGCATTCTTTTCGTGTAATCTTGAAAAAAAAATTAGCTCCTTGAGTGTCACTCTTGAGTCGTCTTTTTCTGTTCTGATGATGGCCCATCCCGGCGTGGCTTATGTCGTGACCACAGAAATGGCGTATTACTTTCACCGGTTTTCCGTGTGAACTAAACAGCAACAACAATATTCATGGCAAGGAAAAAAACTTGTGCACTAATGCATGCTGGGATCCGCACAGATTGATTTTGACACCGTTCGTCGCATGGTCGCCAACACCCGTTCTCGAGCCCCCCCCATGTCACTCAGGACCGTAATACGCGGGACTCCGAATACATGCACAAACCGCACATTCCGTGCTGCCGATAGACCACAACACTGATGACGCGCTTGCGGGCTTTGTTGCAAGGGTTCACGTGTGGGATTGTTTTTCGAGCCTTGTGCATATCCAAAACACATACTAAAGAGACGGAGTTAGCGTGAGAGCTATAGAAAACAAGCCTCGTGGATTCGTTGCCCTCGATGACATGATGGATCGACATCTGCACGCTGGTAATGCTCTATCTTGTTTTCCACCCCGTATCTGTTTAGATCGCTGACAAAATCAACCCTGGCATACGGTTTTGCGCCCTTTGTGCCCATTGCGGGGGAGCTACGATCGAGGTTCACGCGAAATATCTCCTCGTCGGGACATATCTTCCGCTTGACTGCGAGAAGAGGTTGAATATTCACCCCTCCTCAACAACTTGTCTATGTTGACCAGCCAATCCTGGACGGTGCCGAGCAATGAACCATCCCCTCAACCTGACTTAAAAAACGCCACCCGTTTTTCCCGAAACACGTGGAAGGTCGATATGTCGTGGCGGCCAATTGCCTTAAGTTGAATATGGCAACTATTCCTGTAACCTTGTCTGGAGACTGCAATCTAACCTGTTTTTTGTCCACTCTGGGTGGAAATAGTGCCTGAAATATAAGTACACCCTGGCTAAGCACGGATGCAAAAGAACGCCCCAACAGGGCTGTTGTTCACCCGGCGCCAACTCCCCGTGCGTTTCCTCCACATCCGTCCGCAGACTCAACGGAGAAATCATCAAGCTCCGAGAGAATGCCACGGCAATGGTGGAAACCTCCCGCCTCGAGGAGGCGTCCTTGAGGCGACTGCTCGAGAACGCGGCGGCGGAGGGGCGGCGGCTGACTAAGGCTCTCGAGCAAACGGAAGCAGCCCGGGATGAGGCATTAGCCGTTGGGAGGGGGGCTGGGGGAGAGGCGGAGGGCCTTCGAGAAAGGCTGGCAAGGGAGAGGAAAGAGAAGGAGGCGTTCGAGAGAAGTGCGGTGGCGGAGATCGCGTCGAAGGTGTGTCGTGTTGTGGTGATTGGTGTTGTCGTTGCCAAGGACCACTCGGTATCTTGCTAGTGTGGTGGTGCAATGGTGTTGAGCTCTCGCCGAGCGTTGTAGTCAGAATACGAACGAGCGATGACTCAGTGTCGGCCTAATTCTTGCCGAAAAAGCGCAAGATGGGTGAACACCGCAAATACTAAGACTCCCAAACATCGAGTCAATACCCTTATAAACTATCCCAGGCGCTGCCATCACCTGCCCCATGCTCATGTCCCTTCGAACGGCTGGATTGGGTGTATGAAACCCGCAGGAAACTTCGTCAAAAGACCGACAAAACAACGATTGATCCCCGCAGGAAGTGTTCGACATCATATGTTTATCGCTTCACATGCGGGGCGAAGCGCTTGCTTGGTTGCCTTGACGCAGCTTAACGCGGTTTTCTTGTTGTTTGTGCCACTGCCTTTCTCAGGACGGCGAGATTGCCGCTCGACTAGGAGAGATCGCCGCCCTCCGGAAAAAGCTAGATGGAGCGCTTGGCTACGGCAAGGTAGGCCCAGGAACGCTGCAAGAGGAACGTTTCCCCCAGAAGCAACCCGTGCTCTGCTGTTGATTTGTCCTACCTAACAGGCGTTGGGGCAAGCACCCTGCCATGGTACCGAGTTTAGGTTCGTGGCTTATTCGACGACACTGCCGTCCAAACTGTAGCACCACTGCACAGTATCTTCATTTTTGCGACTTTCAATGCCATTTCCACCTGTTGTCCTGCCCCTTCGAAGCAACTCGTTGGAACGGTGGCAACCCTGTCCTTGAAGGTTTGCCACCAACGCCGTCCAGTCTGAACCGCTGGCATGTGTCTTTTAAGTCAAACAAATTATGCCATTGACACTGGGTACAAGTTGAGGCTATTTCTCTCGATCACAAACGTTGTTCAGTTCCACACACAATGTATCGCCGTCTCCAATACCACACAGTCCACCTCTCCTGCTACAGTAGGAACGATACCGAGTTTCTTTCGATTTCTCTGTTCAGGGAGGTTTAGGTAAACTACAAGGGTGCTCGAAAAAGCCATCACCGCGGGAAGCCCGGAGTCAATTTGTCTCTCGCTTCACAAATCCCAACGGCCTATTCAGTCGAATTTTAGGCAGCTTCTGGCTTCTTGCTCCATTTAATAATAGAATCCATAGAGTGGAGCAACCTCACTCCCCAAACGGAAATAAACACACTGCAATCTGCAGGAGGCAACAGAGAAGCTCAAGGAAGAACTGACGAAGGCCCAGGAGGATGTGCGGAGGGCATCCCTTAGGGTGGCCGAGACGGAGAAACGTCTCCGGGATTCACTGGACGACGCGGAGCGCACAAGAGGGGAGGGGAAGAGGACTGTGAACGAGCTTCAGAGACAGGTAAATCCGGGATTGCATGAGAGAATCAAGCGTGATGGTACCAAGTGACTTCTTGATTACCTCCTTGTGACGTACTCGCTAGGCAAGCGGCCCGGCCGTCACACTACAGTAGGGGGTAAGTGCTATACAGTGATTTTGCCTTCACGCGTCTCCCCACTTCCGACTCCCCCGCGGGTTGCGTCTCACACTCCAACGTATTTTCATCTGCTTCGTCTGGAACGTCAACCAGCATGCCCTGCAAGCTACGTCCAATTACGCCTGCCGTCGCAAGCCCCTTCCCACACATGTGCTGTGGTGTTGACATGAACCTCTCTTGGCTTGTTTCACTACTGAACCGCCATATATTGATAGTTACGGCGTCACTCACACGAGTGGTTCTCTGGATCGTGCTACAAAAGCCGCCCCCCCTTTCATTCAACCTGCGACGTGCAGTGGAAGAAGTTGATCAAATATTCATACATCCGGGTGTAGATGTGCCTTGTGGTAGGAGAAGCGGCCTCCTACGCCCTCCTCTTCGTGCCGGCTATGTCGAGGTTGCAGGTGGTGTTGTGATCGTTATCTTGGCTATCTTCGAGATAGCCAGCTGGCCCGCTCGTTCTATTCCCGTCAATTTCACTGCATTGCTTCCTTGGAGAAGGCAAAGCTCACGTAAAATAGCACGAGGCCAAATACAACATACCAGCTCACTCCCTCGGTTGATACATACCACATAGTCTACGGAAAGTTCAGTGATTACAATATACAAAAGGACGAGCACATTTGGAGATGCCCCATGGCGTGTCTGTTGTGCCGAGAGCATGCCTCTCCCCATTACAGTTCCTGCTCGAAACTGGTCCATGGAAAAAATGTGACTCAAACCTCTTAGACAAGCAATCCCTGAGGAAACACCCTCGTCTCCCTCGCCCACTGCCATGAAACGCCTCAGCTTGAGTATACAAAGCAACACGCAGCGGCTGCAGAGGCCAGCCTACGCTCGACCATGGACAAGGAGTTGGACAATGCCCAACAGAAGTTGTTGGGGGCGAAGCGGCAAGCTGAAAAGGATCTCGAGGAGGCTCAGCAAGCGTCTGCGGGTGGGGCGAGGGAGCTGATGGAGAAGTCGAAGCGAAAAGAAGAGGTAAGTGGTAGACACAAGTGAGCACAGTCTTTCCGACCGCCCTATCTTGATGGCTCCTGCCTCTACCTCTAAGGAAAGGCGGGGTCAAGACTTAGACGACCACCAGAAAAGGATGCACACCGTCTGCACCGGGTAATGACCCCTTCCTCCTTCCCAACATCTGTTAATCTTGGGCAGGAGCTGATGCGGCAGCTGGGGGAAGAGGCTCGCCACTTCGAGGCCGCGTTGGAAAGGGAGCGGGCCTCTCGTGTTGCCGAGGTGAAAACACAACACTCAGTGCTGTTATTGTCGTTGTTGTGTCCAACTACAGTTTTCATCTCGGCTGAGTGCCTTTGAACGGCTATCTGACCTCGAAAATGTTCCGTGATCGAAGGTTAAACCACCGCAACAGGGAACTTATTGCGAAGTATCTAATACATACAGCGGGTTCGGCGGATGATCAACGGTGTAAGGTACATTCTCTCTACACTGAGTCAGCAACACTTTTGGGGTCAAGATTGCTGATGCTGTCACCTTGGTGGCAAAGGCGTTCATGAATGTACGATTGACCTCATTGGACCGACGAGACAAAAAGGAAACCTCAACACCATTTGTGCGAGTTCTACATGACAGGTCGCTCGAATACGCCCGGTGTTACGATCATTCTGGCGTTCATGTGCGCCCTTCTAGCATTTTCTCCCTTCAGCCAAACTCTGATGGAGGAAAGTTTGCACTACAGTAGACTTTTACACCTGAAAAACATGCATATGAGGTCGATGGTGTGTTGCTGCAACGACTCTACCTTCACTCGAAGTCTTGATTTCGCTCATTGCACCACACGCTAATTGCGGATGCCATATTTTCACATCCATCCCTGAATTATCCCTCTCGCTTGGAGTAGTGGATACATTGTCCAACAAGCAAAGGATTTGAGTCTTAGAGCCTCGCAACCCCAACAACTTCCACTCCATCTCCGATGGTTTCGCGGTCGTCGTTCGTTCCGCCCGCAACAAATCGGTGCCGATATCGATGAGATGCAATTCTTCCGATCATGACGCAAAGCACTTCACACCACCCCGTGTGCTCCGCCCCTTTTTCCGCTCAAGTCTAAATTACAGGCTGAAATATCACTAAATATGTCTTATTGAGATGCATGACGACGAGCAGCGGTGCCCCTCGCACACGAAACCGAACGCCACTTCATAATCAGGTGAATGAGAACTCGGCCAAGTTGAAAGCTCTCCGGCAAGAAGCCGCCGAGGAGAAAAAAAAACTCCAGCAAGCGGTCGAGCAGGGGGGTCAGGAAGCCGATCGGGAAATATCGCGACTTCGAGCGCAAGTGGAAGGCTTAGAGCGAGAGCTGGACGAAAGGAAGAGGGCGCATGATAAAGAAAAGGTAGGATGATCGTGTTGTCAGGGTAGTGAGAGGCTCCTTGGAAGTTATTTTTTTATGTGGGTAGCTGGGGTGATTAGATGGAGGGGCAACCACTCGACACCGTGCAGGCTCTGCGCGTGGTGCTGTAGGTGGATTTCTGGTTTGGAATCAACGACTGTCAAAACAAGTGTTTCCATCTTGCCCCACGTCGAAGACAAACCTCGCCCCTGCCCCCCGTGCGTCGCATATCAGGGATACGGCGGCCATAGGCAATGCCCCAACACCATACATACCGCCGAGAACCCCCACCTCCCGCTCTCCTTCCCAAATCACCATTGGCCATCTGTCGAATCAAGCAAACTCCACACACGTTCCCCGACCACTGGCAGTGATGGTGTGAGGCCAATCGTTCAATGCCTCAGGCCAGGAACTAGAATTCTCGCTCTGAATCTCCCGAAACCGAACCTTTTGGGCGTCTTCCACTACGCCGTCAGGGGAACGCGGAGCGGAACGGTGACGAGGCGGGTCGCCTGGCGAGAGAGGTTAACTCGCTTCGGGGAGAGTTGAAGGAGGCAAGGAAGGCGGCCGCGGATAGGGTAGGGGAGGAGAGGGCGGCGGCTCAAGCCGAGGCCCGGGCGCTTGAGGACAGGTGACATGTGACCAGTGACATGCGACTATTGTAGCCAGATACGTGAGTGTTCCTCGTCGGCAGCATGTTTTTCTTAGCTACATCAACATTAATCCTACCATGCCTAATATTTCGATATTCTCCGCACTTGTGGGTTGAATCGTAAAGGTCCATGCTGTACTATTGTCGTTCGTTGGCCAAGATCGCAGGTACGTGACTGGTAGAGCAGGCGACAGACCACACGTATGATGATTCAGTAATGCTGTTGGTATGCGTGATTGTCGTACTTGCGATTTATCTCGGTAAATAGGGGCGCGTGGGTTGCTTGTTTTTTGTTTTTGCACCATAAAACCGAAAGATTTTTTTTTTAGAGGTTAGACTACAACTAGATCGAATGCTTTGCGTTCCTTCATGCACCCGATGTCGTTGCGGCAGCCGTGCTCTCAGTAGAAGAGGAAAAAATGAATCACATGGGACCCTATATCTCAGGCAGACGTTCATGTCAAGTCAACACTCCCAAAAAAGTCATCTGTAACCCTGAAGCTCTCGGTATTGTCCAAGCACGGGCTAGAAGTTTTCGCTTTTTGGCCTTGCGGATATTAGTAGCACCATATTTGAGCTTAGCCATGGATGCTCGAATTCGCTTCTCTGCTGGTCGAAGTGGTACGGAAGAAGAGGTATTTTGAACACCTGCGGTACGGGTATGAGTGTGTGAAGACAACGAAGCTACCGAGTGCAACATCATGCCAGTCGCGACAATATCACCACCACCGACAAGAAAATGCGGTAGCAGCACAACAGTATCAACAACCACAGCAGCAGCAACATTAAACAACAACAAACAACAACAAACAACAACGACAACAACAACAACAACAACAACAACAACAACAACAACAACAACAACAACAACAACAACAACAACAACAACAACAACAACAACAACAACCTGTAGGGCAATCCGAGAGACCCAAGAAAGGCTACGCCGTGCGGCCGCTGAGGCGGACGACGCGCTAGCCGCCGAGGTCGGACGAGTGTCGGAAAAGCTCAAGTCCGAGCACGACGCTGCCCTATCGGAGGCCGTAAAGGCCGAGAGGGACGGCGCGGAAGCTCGCCACGCCGAGGTGCTGCGGCAGGCGAAGGTTTCCAGGGAGCACGGCGAAAGGCAACAGGTATAGGTGACACGGGTGGTTGTTCAGCGCAGCTTTGCATTGCATGACATTAGACCTATGCCTACTCCTGGCATTTCCCTCGTCACCGGAACAGTAACGGCAAAACATGGAGTATATTCTATGACAGAGGAACGTCGCAGATGACATTCCTCCTGAAAAACCTTTATCAACCCGATACGTTTAAGGTATGATAAGGTGTGACCCCGGGAATTGCTCGATTAAGTGTTCGATCAGTACGGACAGCTGGAGGTACTGGGTAGAGAGATCGGAACGGTTATTTATTGTGAAGACAACAACAAGGCACTACGCACCGAATACTTTAACGGTGCGCTTTCGGTGGTACACGTTAGTTTCACGACACTGCTGTACAATTGTACGCACTACCATCACCCGCCTGCCAAGTGTATCTTGATACAAGGTCCCTTATCAACAACGTATCGTTGCAGCTACTGCTGTCGTGTTGCTTTTTGCTAACCCATCCCGTCGCAATTTAATGTGCTCTACCGAAGTCGCCACGATCACAACACCAGAAGCCGTAAGCAGTATCCTGCCCTTTGTCCTTACAACACAAGCGTGTGCACATGTATCCTCGGCGTGATCGCGATACGCTCCTCGCAGGAGGACGAGCGACGAGCGCTCTTGGCCGCTCACAAGACGCGACTAGCAGAAGCCGAGGCGAACGGCAGAGCCATGGCCTCGGCGATGCGGGTGAGTACGAGTGCGCGACAAGGCCAAAACAAAAAAAACAGGACACACAGACAGAAGAGCTAGACGTAGGTACCAGTAAAAGCTAGACGTTCAAAGGTGACTCACGCCATGGAAAGTCGATTATTTCTCTTCCAAGAGCCGAGAGAACATATAACAATCGTGGTCAACATGAAGGCATCATCAACGACAGTATTCGACGAAAAATGTAACACTCTGGATGCAACTCCTCCCCACGGAAACGCGCAGGAGAAGGCTGAGGAGAAGGCCGAGGAGGACAAGAAGGCTTTCGAAGCACGCCTCCAGAGTGAACTCCAGGCCCAGGCGTCACGCAGCGCTGCCCAGCTGTCGGAGGCTCTATCGGCGTCGTTGCGAGAGAAGGAGGCCGCCGTTACCGCGGCGGTCGCCGCCAAAGCCTTGCAGCTGCAGGCCACCAAGGCCGTCGCGGACAAGGCCAACGAGGCGTTGGCAGCGCGTCTTGAGGTGTGGATGAAAGCAGAGACGAACGAAATGATAGCTGGTGCGCCGTTTTCACTCTGCTCTTCGTTCCATAGGCTAAAGGATTGGGACAACGTTGCTGGGACCGAGGGAACACAGCAGCTTTGACGGCCAGATTCGAGGGTCAAGGAAAAACAAGGGTAGAAAAAATTCGTCATGTTGGTCGTGCAACCGTTTGTGTTTTCCGCCATATGCATCACGAACTGGCCAAGGTGTAACAGGTGATAACCACGGGGCTGTCGGAAACACAGTTCATGGCCGCGCGGACAAACGAAGTGATACCAGGGGTATTCGTGCGTGGGGCCTTTCTCGGTTGAATGCTGCTGGATACTAACTACGTGGTCATCGAAACGTGGACGTTCCTTAGTCGTGGGCGGTATGGACACTGTTGCCGTGCAGGAGGGGGGTATGTGTTTGAAGCTGACGTTTCTTATCCATGGTTTCGACATTTAGACTTACTGTACTTCTCTCACTCCAGGGAGAACGCGACGCCGAGCACGCTGCGGTGGAGAGTTTGAAAGGGGAACTGCGCCAGGAGACTGAGGAGGTCAGTCCTATCTGTCACCGCGATCCTTAACCACGTGATGATCATACTTTTTCCGAACCACCATGATCGCTAGTATGATCTACCGCAGAAGGCCCTCCCGCCGATGGTATTGCCGTCGTTTCCACGCATAGGGATGTCTCCTAACAAATCGCGTTGATAACATAATGCATCGGCTTAGGCTTCCTCTTCAGCTGTTTTGCCGACACTATTGGCGCCCAATATGTCTACGGAAAACCCTCGTCGCGCCTTCCTCGAACCTGTCCAAATGCCTCAACATTCGTCGTGCTGCCGGCGCTGTGGCGACAAAAGTCATTCGGCCTACAATGCGAACCAATTTATTTCCTGTCCTTTGCTCCTACTTCTTATACGAAGCGAACGACGCCTGCACGCGCAACTTGCTATCCTTTCGCGTGTGTCACGCCGTTCTGAAGCTCTCCTTTTCCACCTTTGCCTATCTTAACTCCTTGTTGTGAAGCTTGAGCGTGCAAGGAAGAATTGCGCAGCCGCTAAGGAAGAAACGGAAGCCATCCGAGAGGCGAAGGAAGCCGAGATCAGGTGAGCAGTCCACTCCGAAACCATAGCATTTCCAGCTCGAGGTAATCTGAATCCGGATGACAGGTTAGTCTTGCGTGTCTTGAACCATCTATTCAATATCGATTTCCATCTGAAGAATCCCGTGTATTTGCTACATACATACGTGCAGTTCCGTCCGGTGTAGGCCACCGATGATACGCTAGAGTTTCCAGTGCTACCATTGAATTTCCTGCAGGTGTCATCCTACATTGTGTGAACTTGTCTGCGCCCAAAACACGAACCCTGGATTCCGGAGGTAATCAAAGCTACACTCGCCCTCTTGGCTGGGAGGGGGGCAAGTGCTTCCCCTAGCACCTAGACGGTTGTTTTTCGTCGTGATGATTCGAGCATATTACCGATCCGTAGAATGTTGCCTATCAGTGCAAGCACGCGGCGAGCCGTTCAAAGCACCATATCGATTGCTGCACTGAGCCATCGTACGCACCCTCCCATTCTTCCCGCTGTGCTGTGAACACATTACCGATGACGATGGTCTTGCAGGAACCAACGCTTAGCAACCGCAGCTAGAGAGGCAGCACTTGTGTCGAAGCACGCCACGGAGTTAAGCCATGCCGTGGGCCGTCAACGGGACGAACTCAGGTGTACCTTGTTGAAGAGCATGGAATATTGTTGGTTTACATCTGCGGAATCCACTTTTGCAACGATAACAAAGTACCGTCGATCTGGTTTCTCAAGCTGCAAATGGGGAGGTTCATTCCCTGTGAGGATTGAGTGAACAACTCAATTTCGTGCAATCACATACGTATGTGTCCCAAACATCAAAGACATGTTGGAGAGAAGTAGGTAGGCGGGATGAGAGGAGTACGCGAGTTTAGGGAACCCACAATGTCTCGAGCGGGCGACTCGATGACGATTACCCTGGCTCTTCTCGCCTGCCTCAACCTTCACGTTCAACATACAGTGGAGGCACGTTCGGAGTTGGCGTCCTGATCCCCCCACGAAACGCTCAACCTCAGTTAATTTGGGATATGTTCCATCGTTTTGCCGAATTGCCGGATGCAGGGAAGCCCAAGGTCGGTTTGGAGAGAAGGAACGGGAATTGAGCAATCGGATAGATGCCCTTCAACAGGAGCAGAGACGACTAGAAAATCGGTGGGTGCCTCCGCGCGGCCCTACCCGACGGTGCCCCTGGCAAACGTAGCAGCGGTAGTATATCGACGGGTTCTGGCACGTACCAAGGCAAAATCTGGGAACATATGCGTAGTGTTGATGAATTATATTTCCCGCGGGGTTGTTCATGCTTGGAGTGTGTTCACAGCCGACATTATCTGAATCTTTCCCCACGAACATTCACAGATGGGGTGCACCCATGTACTGTTTTTTTTTTCTTTGGTCTCCCATTATTGGACTTTGTCGTCTGCCCCTCTGGCCCCTACCCTCCACCATTACCAGCTAGACGACCCAACCGGGGCCATAAAGGAGGGGGAGGTTGGACCCCTTCCTGCGGTTCCTGCCTAAGATATTATTATCGCGAGAAGGGTACATCAATCCCTTCCCTCGCGACTTGTGAAGTCGATCAAGTTTACAAACAACGAGCTTTGCAGCGCGTCGCTTCCAACGGAGACCAGGATTTAGTTAGCGAGAAACACACTCACTCTGTCGGGACTCGAACCCATGACCTGGCCCTTAGCAGGCTGCGAGGCTACCTACTAGACCACCGGGGCGACCGGTGTGTATGCAGGACCGAAAGAAGGGGAGATCGGGTTTCTCCCTAAGCTTCACTCCGTCTGCTTTCCGCCCACGGGCAAAGACGTGAATCTTGTGTTTTGCGTGCTGCTCTCCCTCCAGTGTACTGCACTCAGCCCCCTCCCTTTTGTGTGGGCAGGAGTTTAGAATGCTCACAACAAGTTGTACTGAGCGCGTTCGCGGGACTTGAGAGCAGCGCGCCTGCCTGTCTTACTACGTGATTCCTGTGCTCCCCCAAGCCATTTCATTTCAGTCACCCATGAAATTGTCGAAAAGACATTCCTTTGAAGCAAGATACAGGAACGTGCGTGCACCGCATCCCGTGATGATGTTGCAGATACAGATATTGGCTCGTTTCGACCCCTACACAACGCGTAGGGTTGAATCAAATGGTGCTATACTCACTCAAAGGCAGGCACTTCATAGACCTGCTGGACCTCGCGAAGCCTTTTGCAGCGATCTCTTTCATTGTGATTTTCACTGCGAAAGGACTCCACACTATAAAACTAAACAGTTATGAGAACCGGCCAAGTCGTGAGGAGGACGTGAAGCGCATCCGCCAGCTGGAGGCGGACGCCATCGAGAGCCGAAACGTTGCGGCCAGGGCTCGCGAAGAGATGGCGTTCTTCAAGCGAGAACTCCTGAACCGGGAGGAGAACTACAACAAGAAATTCAATGCTAACCCTGTCGTCGGCGTCATGCAGGTGCAGATAATTTTCCTCCTGTTCACCCCATCTGGATGAAAGCGAAACATTGCTGATACCTGCGCCTTGGAGAATGACGGTCGCAAATCAGGGGATCCCTTGGACAACACTTCTGTCGCCGGAAGTGTTGTGATCGCTCTACCACGTGGGCACCAGAAACTTTTGTGTAACCAGGTCGACGGCGGCTCCCTCTCTGCATGCCGGCCTGGTTAGGTAGTCTAGCTGAACACCCGGCACGACTGATTGATTCATCGAGTCGGTAATAAACCCCTCCGTTTAGCCGCCTTTCGGATTTTTGGCCATGACCATGCGTAACAAACACGAGACGAACGTTTCCAGGTTGTAAAACCAATGGACATCCGAGGGTCGGAAGGCTCAAACAAGAGGACGGGCTCGGAGGCGCGCTTCAACCCAGCGCAGCAACACAAGCCTCGCCCGCCCCGCTACTACCAAAAGACGGCAAGGTCCGCTAGCATGCCTAGTGACTATCCCAGCGCTGGGGAGGGGGGCATGACGAAGGGGATCGGGGGCGTTGGTGGCCGTGACCGTAGACACCCTGCTACTAGCGATGGCGGGAGTGTTGGCTCATTGGCATCTTCGCGTAGTAATGGGCGTAGTTCGAAGGAGGCGTCGCGGGCGAGGGGAGGACGGGCGTGGCGAGAAAGGACAGGCCCTGAGGGGGCAGGATCCATCTCGACCGGGGGGGGTAGGAGCTAGAAAAACAAACAAACTGTCCAGGTTAATCAGTTTTACTTTGATGTGTCTCCACGCGACAGACTCGGAGGCATTGGCAACTTTGGCTGTGATCCTCTCACGTGCCACGCTCTTCGCGCCGGTGACGTCGGTGCTCTCGCCATAACGCTGTAGTTGAGATTACACTTTCGGTGGAACATCTGCGACGCACACAAGTTGCTGCGTGGTTTTCCAACACCGCAAAGCGGGATGGGTCGTCGCTTTTCGGGGGAAATAGTACTTGCGGGCAATCAGCGAATTGTGTGCCACAAACCCTTGTTGTTCGATGTAGCGAAAGGTACAACGCGGAGAGGATTGCAGCGAGGGGATACTCTGTTTTCATGTGAGCCTCGCCAATTTGTTGACTCGCTCTGGTTTCACCTGATGGTTCCGAACGCCCTGTGTGCCTCGGGTTCAAACAAACTTGTTCCTACTGTGCAGATGCATCGAAGCAAAGACACCATCTTTCTGCGGCTGCGTGTCTCTCCATACTTGTAGGTTTCCTCGCCACTTCGGCAGCTGTTCACATGTTCCCTCTCTTTCACACGCCTACGCTCAAATAGTGTGCCCATCAATTTTCCGAACCAAAGCGAAATAGGATCACCAGCACCAACTTGCAACTATACTTCTCCACCTTCCTCCCGCCCTAGGCGACCGTGAATCACATCCAAGCACGATCCTAAAGCTACCGTCTCGTCATCTCCCTGGACCACATCAACAAAGAATCACGACCTTGCACTATCACGTGTTTCTGCTTCTTCATGAGCGTGACCAATTGCCTGGCAGCGACTCATGAGATCAAAATCCACGCGATAGAGGAACGAGTGATATCGTCAGTGCCCCCCGGCAGATTGGCAAGGCACCGCTGCTCATTTCACGGCGCCGTGCACAGTCCAAAGTTTGGACGATCGACAACCAAGGAAGTCGTTCCGGTGGAACCACCTGCCTAGTTGCTGCGCAATGAATGCACAGCCCATTTTGCAATAACATTGCGCCGATCTATCCACCACGACGTTGAAAAATGTCTCCAAGGACCCGATCGAGCACATCGAGCTGAGCGGGACCCAAGGGGCGGCACGCTGCACAGAGGCGGGCGGCGGGGGCCGCAAGGTCGGCCCATGCGATGCCGCCGCCTTCGGACCACGGGCCAAGGAGAGAGTCTTTCGCACCGGTGGTAGTGGCCGCACCACCGACCACGCCGTTGCCGTAAAGGTTGACGCCGCCGCCGCTGCTGCCACGCGTAACGTCGCCGAGAGCGCTGTTGGTGTCAGGGCCATCACGCCCTTCACCGTTGGTGGTGGTGTTGCCGTCGTCATTGTCACGGGTGGCATCAGAGGGACGAGGGGGGAGGCTTTCGCCGCGGAGAACGGCCTCTACTAGATTCCTCAGCAGCAACGGGAACCTGACGGCCGATGTTGAGGCAATATTGGACACCATGTAGCGGTTGAGGGAGATGATTGAAATGGCCACCAGTTCATCTTTTGACAACAGCCGTCGTACAATGGACATGCGAGACTAGCACCGCTGCAAGCGACGTGCGTGATCGCACGGTAGGCTTACCGATGGAATTTGGCCTGGCTTCCGTCCACAAACGCACGACGGTAACAAGTCTTGAGGCAATCCTGGAAGAAACATTCCGCGGCCGCACCAAGACTCATATCGCTCCGCAAGAGGCATGAAAACGTAGGCACAGGCCGAAGGGGGCATTTCCGTGGAACCAAAGATAGGACGACACAACCAGAGTAGGCAGAAACTGAGTGCCAATCGAGGTGTCTACGAGAAAGCTGCCACCATCGCGAAACCTAAACAGCACACCTATCACTATCCGTTTCTTGCAGTGTCTGGTGGTGCCGCATCAGCTCTCCGAGAAGGGCAACACCGCCCTCCCCACCTTGCAGCCCTCCTTCCCAGACACCGGGGCTGCGATTCCCCCGGGGTCCATATCTAGAATCGGGCGCCGCCCTTTTCGTACCAACCGCGCTACCGCTTCGGTCTGCTGAAGGCGACGGGGACAGGACGGCCCTGGCTAGTGAGGCACCTACGGCTCCGACGCCCACCCTGAACTCGTCCACTAGGAGCCGCAGAGCAAGCGCCCGAACCTGCTCAGAAGGGTGTTGTTTAGGTCGTCGAAGTTGTGCTTGGTAAAAACGGCGACATGATTACAACGATGTCCTGCGGCTCTTTCCAAGTACGATCGAGATGTGAGGAACGGAAGCACGCGCAGCTTTAATTCAGTGCAGCCTTTTGGGCCACTAAAAGGTAAATATTCAACGACGCCAATGCTCGTTGGCGAGATGGGCGATGTGGAGTATGGCGGTTCGGTGCGCGGACGCACCATCTTCAACAACGACAATTTTGACAACCCGTTTCAGAGACGCACCCACCTGTTTAGATAGGCGCTTACTCCGAAACAATGTCCACGCGGAGTTCGTCTCCACAACAGCCTCACAGACCAACTAGCACACAGCAGCTCGCCGAAGTGCGTTTCGACATACACTCTACGTTACCTGTAGTTAGGTCTACTTGGCCGAAGCCTCTTTCGACAATGAGCGACACGAGCGGTTTCCCGTTCTTTCCGGTCACAACATCATGAAATCAACTCGATCCGAAGCCAGCTACGAAAAGAGATCGGTTCCTGAAGCCTCCCCCACGCAACAGGAAACACGAAACGCCTTGCACTGAGTGAAACTCCGATCCGGAGTCGGTCGAGCGGACTGGTTTCCGTTCTCTTCCGCCCCTCTCCCCAAGCAATAATTATACTGCCGGCAGTCGCGAACGAAATTTGCTGAAAACCCCAAAGAAAAACGGATTCCTCTCTTGGACTGATTCCCACACTGCACGCACGGGTGCTAAGGCGCAAAAGGGCTCCTCCATACGGAAGACCAACGCGCTGGACTCTAAAAGGAACGCCCTGATGCCCGCAACAGTCACGGACTCAGATCACCTTTGGGGCTGCGTCGAGGCACCTCTCCAGGAGCAAGGACACCCCCGGCACGCAGTCCGACGAGCAGCCCTGGAAAAGGGAGGCGAAGCGTTTAATAGGGCTCAATGCCTGCGGGGTCTAGCGATATGTCGCGCGGGAGCGGAGGTAGTTGCGGCGGAGGGTTTGATGAATCAAAGCAAACGCGCGAGTCCTTCCCAGCCGGAAATGGGTCCAAAACATGAGCTCGCCGAGAGAGGAATAGATGTACCTGGTTGAGCGTGGCGCTCGTGGACGCGTGGGGGACGAGACGATCGGGGTAAGGGCTTAGTTTGTGGTCAGGGCAGAATCTCGGCGTATGCTTCCAAAAGAGAGAAATCGCTGCACTTGACGGAATAAACTAAACCCCCTTTTGAACGGCGCCTCAAAGCTCGATTGCTCACCGTGTCACAGAAGCATGCCGGTACAAGAAAGGGCGGCGTTAGAAACCTCTCGTTGAGAGCTTGCGGAGCACTGCTCCAGGAAGCTACTAGCGCCGTTTTCCGACACATACTTCCGTGAAAATATTTCGACTTCGGAGTACCGAGCGCACGCGACGCAATCGATACTGGTTATCGACGTGAAATGCACAAGTAGAAGAGCCATCCCGAAATAGCGGGGTCTCATCCTCTAACGCGTGCCCCTGTGGGGAAGGAACCAGCCTTTCCTCGGCTTGGTGACGTTGCTTGTCGCCTTTAATTGCCCGCCCGGTGGGGAACCCCCACTCCCGTTATTTTTCTGCAAAGGTGAGGCATTTGCCTACGTTTAGCCCATCCACCCCACGGAAAGGTCACCTAGTGGTATTCTCTTTCTCTTGGTCTTACTACGTACCTCTCCTATGGCAGCGAGGGCCGAGAGTCTGACGGAAACGACACCGTCCAGGGCGAGAGACGACAGCACCCCGAGTAACACCGTCTGCCGGGTCGAGTAAAAGTAAAGACGATGGGTGCCGCAAACAAGGCCGGCCGAAGCACCAGAACGGCTCGTTGTGAGAAGCCAAGAAGCGGGCAAAGTGGACTTGGCCTGGCGCCGATTCCACAGATGGCGAACAAGCGTCTCGGGAAGAGAAAAAACACAGACAATACGAAAACGACAGGTATGTAGCACGAAAGCGCTCGGCAGCTCCAACGCAAACGGTGGGCAGTAACAACAGGTTCGAAACAAAGGCGGGCGTTCAATGTTCGCGGCCACGGTATCGCAGCGGTTAGGCGCTAGTCCTTGTTGGGTGTGCAGCCAACGCGCGCCTTAGATACATAGCAAGGATTTATTGTTTTTCGCACCTGAACATCGTGAGTGTCTGACGAGCTGCAAGTTCTGCGGTACTCGAGGAGGCCATCAGCCACGGCCGATCGGAGGCTAGCCTTGGCCTCCCCTTCCACCATCTCCTGCCTGGAGACATCGAACGTTCGGGGGGATGGCACGCACTCGGGTCACACATGGCCTAACTGTTTTCGACGCAGATCGCACAGCACCGTAGGTTGCGGAAGATATCACATCCCCTGGACCGATTTTCAAAGCTCTTTTGCCCGGCAGGAAAAGTGTTGACGGTGCCAAAAATGGCGGCGTTGGAACCGCCTCAATGAGAGATTTACGAAAACGTATCGCTTGATTCGGCATCCTTTTCGTCGGGGACTATTTGAGCTTTGAACAATCGGTCCAGGGGGTGTGGAATTCTTCGTATGTCACCTATGGCACGGTAAATGTACCCGCAGTTTTGACTTAAAGCCGAGACGATCGACACGCATGTTTCCGGGAAGAATTTATTGAGCCACCGTTAGCGAGGAAAATAGTTGCCGTTATCATCGCAATCAGGGCTGGCTTGCCCGTAGTTCCGATATCCTCGTGGAGGGTTGCGATGTTACGGGTGCGTGACGAGCCATCGTGAGTGGTACAGAGAGATGAAGATCAGATACACATCAGAGGGTCAGCACAAGTGCACAATACGTGATTTTGCTGCTCCTTCGCCGTTTTTCGCCCCCTCTAAGGTGACTTGAAACGTGTGTGAAGTTGTTGGTATCCTGTCACTCCTCCTCGCTATTTCGAGTCTGCTCTTCTCGCTGTTGTGGCAGGTTATCAAGCGGTTTCGGGGAGACTTCCGCGGATCCATCCGAAACCTCGCATCCCCGCTGCCACAGAATGAAACGACACCACGAAAGTTGTGAGATTTGCTACATGGACATCGCTGTCGTCGAGCGAGGGAACAACCAACACTGCAAATCACCCTACTCATCCTGTCACGGTCGCAAATGGTGTTTGAAGGCACCGCACAGATCCTTCGGCGCAGGCGCAAGCGCACTGTTTGATGAGTTTCTCCGAATTACTGACGTATAGAACGTAGGAAAAGGGTACTCCGTAGTGCAATTGCCTCACACGAGCAGCGGTCGCCTGCGCATCTAATAATGCTAACAACCGACAGGATAGTTCGGTTGTGCGCTTTGTGGGATAGGAAACGACGTTTGAAGATATATTTGTTGTACGTTGTTTCGCTCTCGTCGCTGCTGGTAGCAGTGCAGATGTTTCGCAGGGACTGGGCTGAGGTCAGAACGGTTTTCAACCCGAAGGCCTTAAGAACAACATCAACATGCACGATGCAGGCGGGGTGTGCTTCGTGAATCTCACCTGATGAGTGACATGCACGATGAGGTGTGACCGAGGATGTCAGTGCAGGCCAACACAAGCCCTCGGCGACGCAGCTTGTCGTTCCCAGCGCTGCTGGCGCGTCCGCCCTTCTTGCCCTTGCCCTTGTTCCTCGCTCTCGCCCTGTCCACTGCAGCAAGGAGCGAAACTACCTTACGCTCTTTCCGATAAAAATATCGAACATCAAGCCAAGAATGCTGGCACCGACAGAGAGTACACTGCGTGCATTGGTCTCTTCTGGTCAGCCCCGCCCAAAATATGTACTCCGAAGCTTCCAGAGTGAGTCATTCGACAAGGTTGGCGACTAGGGGGGTTCCAAGAAAAGGATGATCGACCGAGGCCGAGGTCACGTTGTGGTCCATCTTGCATGCCTCATGGTCCGAGGGCATGGGCACGGGTATTGGGACAACCACCTGCCCAAAGGCTGTGTTGCACGACAGGCGGGGTTTGTGAAGCGGAGTCCGCTGTGCTTCTGAACCAACCGCTTCTGGAGCGTCGAACTCATCGAGCACCTGGAAGTTCAGAAAGGGAGAGCCGAAGCGCTATGCCCCACCCAGTCCTTTTCTCGACTGCCCGCTCCGAGCTGAGCTTTTCGTTCCGCTGCAACCGCGCTGAAATGATTCTACGTGCGTTTGTTGTAGGGCGTCGCGTATTGTGTCCCCTAGTGTGTACCTGTCGCTGAGCCCCCCATCACGACGTCATCGCCTAGAGAGGATACGTCGTTGTCGTCTTCGTTGTCTTCATCGTCGTCGCTAGCGGCTGAGGAAGACAGCAGCACGACGGAGGGATCACCCCAGGCCTTGACTTCCTTCACCGTGTGAACGACCATCCTTTCCATGTTGAAGGAGTTGCGAGACCTGCCAGTCCACAAGCGGCAGGAAGAGGAAGCACAGACCGGTTGTTGCTTTTGGCAGTCTTAAGATAAATGCTAGGGTTGGAAGGAAGCTGCAACAGAGCGGATTCCCAACGCCGCTGTTGGTTCTGCGAGGGGAGAATTCGAGCCTCGGCGTTCTCAGGCGTTTCATCAAGAATTTGAAAATGATGTACGTAGACCATGGGCACCCTGTTTAGGAACTTCTGCAATTACAAAGGTTTCAAGGGCGGAGCCTGCTGGTTGCTCCAAGGACGAAAAACAAGAACGGGTCAGACAAGCCCACGCAATCGTATGAAGGTGCACGTTTCGCATCCTCCCAACGGCACTCTTCGGTGAAGCCACTCTCAGCTTACGACGACACCCCCGCCCCCCCCCCGAAGAACAAAAAACCATGTTGCGCTCATCCCGCCTACGTTCAAGAACCAATCCCTAAAAAAATATCAATACCCCGTGTGAAAATCCTCCCAGGACAGCAACATGAAACCACAAACACAGAACAAATTTTCTCACCTGGTTGAGCGCACCAAGCTCCTCAGAAGCGCCGCAAGCCTCGGGGGAATTCTCCGCGAGCCGCCGCTCTGTCCCTGCCGACCACCCCCCATCCCCATCAGCAACACCTTCGGGATGACATCCCTAAAGAACGCGCCGGAAGTGTCCGGGTCGGCCCGGACGTAGTTGCCGATGATGGTTACACAAGCGCGCGTCTCATCCTCTGGAGATAGGGCAGCGAAGGAGGCGGTGGCAACAGCAGTCCGGCGGCGGCGGTTGCGGCTGGAGGGAGGCGGAGGCGCGGCATCCGAATCTGAATCGCGGCTGCCCTCGGAGGATGAGCTTGCTTGGGAGGGGGCGATGTCCTGCGTTGTTCGTGGATGGAGACAAGCGTGGTGGTTGATTTAGGGGACGTGGGTGGGGGGACGGTCGAACGGGTTTCTCGGTTGTATTCCTCACGGTTGTGTGAACGACTACGCGTCTGGCAATGGAAGTCAGCCAACAATCAACATGAAATGCCAACCGCAGCATCGTTTCCTCACCCAATCGTGACCCACTAAAACGTGACAGCAAATACCACACGCACACCAAGCGGCACGAAGCTAGGGAGTCTATCAAAGCCGGAGGGGGGGAGTGCACTCATAGTCGTGCATGCCGTAGTCGTTACACCATTGACCTCGAATCCCTACAAAGCCGGGACGGAGCACGCCGGGTTCTCACCGGACCAGGCTCTCACATCACCAAGCGTTAAGCGGCGTGAGGTATTCGGCAAGTCGCATGAAGGGTGCGCTGCATCCTGCTAAGGGTGTTCGGCATCTTGTGCTTACTTCCTTGCGTACGGATGACAGCTGCGTATGACTTCAATTTCTTTTCTGGTGCTTCACTTCCAGAGACAGCCATCAGCACTGTGTAACTGCTTCGAGGGTGCTTGACCATTTTAACACAACGTGGTGCGATCATCCCCCTTGCGCGGAGTGAGGGTTCTCCACCCCGCACAACATGATCTACTCGACCACCATTATGGTTACCTCCAAAACACGAAAAACAGAGGTAAAAAAAACGGTAACCAGGTTGCCGAGTTCACGAAGTGAACTGGCTTGTTTTACAACGTCGTTGCCAAGCGACGAAAACCCAACCCCGATGGCAAACACGGAGGGGGGCGGGGGTGTAACACTTCTCGGCACCACACCAACACTTTTCGGCGCCACATATGACTAGCACGAAACCACCGCAGCCGCAGCCCGGGTACACGAAAATTTACCACATCACCCTACACGTGAGCGCGCTTCAGACAGAAACTACGCTGGCGACCTCGAGCTGCGGTTGCGGGGAAAATATGCTTTAGTGCGTGGTTGTTGGAGTTGGTACACACCCCGAAATCTACCTCAGAAGAGCGTTGCAACAACGACCATTCTGCTGTACCCCCTTTCAAACTGCCGACAATGGGGCATCACAAGCACTCCCTTGCAGTCTGACTCCCGTCAAATTAGGCTCAAAAATGATCTGTCGGGGTGCAAACGTCCGCGCGAGCAAGCTAGATAAACAGTCCGACATGTATCAAGTTAGCAACCTCTCAAACAAGGACGATCCGCTAGCGACAGGTAATACAACGGTAGCACACGCGTCCTTCACACCTCCCCTGCTTCGACGGCCATGTCTTGCTGACCGAAGGCCCCGTCGTCTTGCACAAGGCACTGCAGCAGCACTTCCAACCCCAGGCCCACAGGGCCTGAGCGGTCTGGATTTTTTAGGACGCTTTGGTCGAACAACTCCCTCCCCTGGAAACGGCTCACGCGGGTTCGGGGGAGACTGTTGTTGTCGTTGTCGTCGCTGTTGTTGTTGTCGTTGTTGTTGTTGTCGTTGGTGGAGGCTGTGGTGGTGGTCGTGTTGTGGTTGTTGCTGTTTGTGTTTTGTTGCTGTTGCTGTTGCTCCTCTGTTTTTGTGAATCGCTGCGGTGCGCACGTGATACGGCCATGTTGTTGGCAGACCAAGATCAGCTTAACGTCGAAAGACCACCGGACTTATCTCTTAGAAGCTCGTCGACCAAGTGCTGATGGACGATCCCAACGAACGCACCATGGTAGCCGAACCCTCCCAGGACCCGAGCAGCGCCCTCGTGAGCGTGGCTACGACGGTGCGTCTGCCGCAGTCCACGGTGTCCCTCCCGTTCATGCACAGGTACTCTTGCAGCGTCTGCAGCCCGGTAACCTTCGGTGCCTTCAGCGCCCAACAAGCAAGGCACCCCACAGCCGTCATTGAATGGTACGAGTGATGCTACAACGGCCAAACCACGCACGCGTGATACACGTAAAAAAAAAAGGTGAACACCGCTTGTGTTTTCATTCACCCCATTTGCTCCACCCGTGAGTTCTTGTCAATTCCTTTAGCTGGCTGTTATCCTGGGTCTCACAGAGAATCTCCTTGGTGCTGCCTTTCTAGATAAAATCAAGAACACAAACGTTGAGTGAAAAGGAGCTAGTGTCAACCCGGGGCCTCGAGAGAGCCATCCCTCCCGCCATCCACATACCTGAGACGGCAGCAAACCCGCCGCACTGCCGGCCTCGCCGGGAGGAAGACGGCGGTTCTTGACTTTCCAGTTGTGTTCTCGATGCGGAGGCGGTGGTTGTCGGGGGGGGTTCTTCGCGGATATGATCGCCCGGAAAAAATTGGCCGGAAGGACAAACTCCTTCAGATCCTTTCGTCGCGGCGGAACAAAGGAGAAAATAACTGAACATGTCTCTTCGTCCACTCACTGTAAAAACTCCAACACATCCCCTTCGACTGTGGGCATATCTCGAACGGGTAGTCTTTCTGTGTTTGTATTTATTATGAATAAGAATGTCGTTATTTTTCTTAAGAAATGTCTGCGGGTAAACGGTCGCCGATCACTGCTACTGGGAGGAAGGAAAATTTCTGAATGACAATATCTAACCCCAGGGGGTTGTGGACGAAGAACTCAGCATGACTACCTCGTTGACTTCCGCAGGGGGGGGGGGGGGGGG